AATCGTGCATAATCTCGTTTTGTCTCGCGAGATATGGCAACGAATAAAGGCGGGAAAAATTATTTCAAATCTTAGGTACAGTTGTGTTCAGACTTTTTGTCCCCCGTTTTCAGTGAAAGTGGAGGATATTAAATTTGGGTTTGTCTGCCCACTTGCCCATCCGTCTGTCCGTAATTAAGTGTAATAAAAACGGAACAGTTTTGGGGGGAAATATGTATTTAAAAGAATAGAAGAACCTTCTGATACCATTATAATTATAATCTTTTTCATTCTTATTCTTTTTTATGAAACCTGTCGCGGATTTAAGGGGGGCGCTACCCGGCGCCCCCCCCCCCAAAAAAAAAATTGTCAACTGAAAGTTAGCATAAAACATAGTTTCGTCGAGAAAATGTAAATAATGTCTATACTCGATAGCCTCATTAATTTTTACCATAAAAAAATCTCTAGAATCCAGGAGCTTCCGGGGGCTTCATTCATATTTCTTATACAAAATTATTGTCCCCCGCTTTCGCGAAAGGGAGGGGACATTAAATCTCATTCGTCTGCCAGTCTGTCCATCCGTCACAAAAAGTGTAACCTAGCTAGCTTGGTCATAAAATTCTTTTGAATGAGAATCTTGAGATATTGCTTTCACATTACACATGTATTTTACCTGTGATAAAACCTTTCTAAATACACTATGATTTAATCTTTACCCCCTGACCTTGACCTTGAAGTTTGACCTACTTTTCAACAAAATTAAACATTATATTGAAATGACCACAACTTTTGAATGAGAAGCGATATGGCTTTCATATTAATCATGTTTATCACCTGTTACAAGGCCTTCCTAAATACACTATGATTTTTCACCTCTTGACCTTGAAGTTTGACCTACTTTTCCAAAACTTTGACCTTGGTTGTGACATTTGAATGAGAAGAGATAGGGCTTTGATATTGATCTTAGACCTGTGTATTGCCTGTGACAAGACCTTTCAAATCACACTATGATTTTTTGACCCTGTGACTTTGAGGTCCGAGCTACTTTAATTTAAAAACTTAAAAATTGGCCATAACTTTGAATGAAAGGAAAAGGGGCTTTCATATTAAAGATGTGTAGTATAAATACACTTCACTTTGACTTTGTGACCTTGAAGTTTGACCTACTTTTCAAAAAACTTTACCTTGCTCATGACGTTTGAATGAGAAGACATGGGGCTTTCATGTTAAATCTGTTCATTGCTTGTGACAAGACCTTTTGTTATACACTATGTTTTTTTTATATTGTGACCTTGTCATTGAATTTTGACCTAATTTTCAAAAATGTTAATTTTTCCTTATAACTTTTGATTGAGAAGAGAAATGGCTTTTAATTCATTTTTGACATGTGCATTTCATGTGACAAGATATTTCTGACCTTATGCTATGATTTCTAACCCATTGGCCTTCAGGATTGAATTAATTTTAAAAAAAATCATTGATAACCTCTGAATGACATACATTGGCGTCGGAAGCAAATTGAAAGTGTGTGTGTGTGGGGGGGGGGGGGGGCTAAGTGCAAAAAAAAAAAAATTGTACCTTCAAAAAAACCTGACAAGCAAAAAAAAAAAAGGGAAACGTTTCTTTCCCAAATACGAAAATTTCGTGTGGGGGGAGGGGGTGTAGGTTCGAACTTCAGTACCAAATTTTTTTTCCAAACACCACCACTTTCCCCATTTTAACCTATACTAAGACGTATCTGTGGAACGTGGGGGGGGGGCTAAACCTACGAAGATATGTTCAATGTCTATACTAAGTATATATTTGGAAAAAAAGTGGGGGGGAGGGCTAAGCCCCCCTAGCCCCCCCCCCCCCCCCCGGTTCCGACGCCTATGACATAAGATAGGGCGTTCATGTTTGACACATTATGCCATAAAAATGTGTTTCACCCACAAAGACACCAAAAACTGGAGAACATAATTCTTTGAATTTGCTTGTTAATTTATAGAATTTATACTTTTACTTAACCAGATCAATGATGTCATTTTTTTGAGGGGGGGGATACTTAAGGACAGATGATATAGATAACAAAAAAAATATAGATACCTGGATTGGTATGTATTTTTGTCCCCTGCTTTCGCGATTTTAAGCGAGGGGACATTAAATCTAATTCGTCTGTCAGTTTCTAGTTCTGTCGGTCTGTCACAAAACACTTTAACTTTGGTCATATCCTTCGAATGAGAAGAGATAGGGCTTTCATATTAATCCAGTATATTACCTGTGATTAGACCTTTCTAAATACGCGTACACTATGATTTTTGACGTCGTGACATTGACCTTGAAGTTTGACCTACTTTAAACTTTAACCTTGGTCATGACATTTGAATGAGAAGAGATGGGGCTTTAATATTAGTCCTATGATAGGACTAATACTAAAGCCCCATCTCTTCTCATTTAAGTATGTATTGCCTGTGAGAAGACCTTTCAACACTATGATATTTTGAACTGTGAGCTTGACCTTGAGGTTTGACCTACTTAAAAAAAATAAACTTTACATTGAAATGGCCAAAGCTTTTGATAGAGAAGAGATTGGGCTTTCATATTAAACATTCATGTGTATTATCTGTGACGAGACCTTTCTTATAAATACACTTTATTTTTGACCTTGTGACCTTGACCTTGCAGTTTGACCTACTTTTCAAAAACTTTGACCTTGGTTTTGACGTTTTAATGAGAAGAGATAGGGCTTTCATATTATACCTGTGTATCGCCTGTGACAAGACCTTTCTAAATAAACCATAATTTTTTATCTCATTACCTTGACCTTGAAACTTGTCCTTCTTTTCAAAAATGTTAATTTTTCCTTCTAACTTTTGATTGAAAAGAGATAGGGCTTTCATATTTGACATGTGCATTACCTGTGAAAAGATTTTTTACGAGCATGTTCTCATGATTTCTGACCCAATTCAAATAATTGTGGTCCCCTGCTTTCATGCAGTGTCTTTGTGGGTGAGATGTCATTATTTATGGCATATATTGTGTCAAATATGAACACACTATCATATATCATTCAGAAGTTATCACGTTATCACCCAAGTTGATTTTTTTGAAAATGAGGTCAACCTTGAAGGTCAAAGTGCTTGTTGGACCTATTTTGGTTGTAAAAAATGCAAATAATAAATCTCTAAAGTATTAGAAAATTGTACGCTTTTATTACGTTCTATAAATTCTACTTTTCTACAATCATCGTTAATAATCTATGAAACTTTTCATCACTTAAAATCCCATTATTGTGAAACTTGAAACAGATGACAAATGAAAATCTATATTTACTTCTTTGAACATAACTAAGGTTGTTATTTTCAAGATTTTTGACACAAGTTTGTATATCAAAAATACTGTCTGCTCCTCTCCTTCAAGTTGAATGAAATTGCTTCATTCGGACCTGTGTGGATTGTAAAAACAATCGACACTTATAATAATATTTCAAAACTTTTAATTTTTGAGCTCATTGCATGCATTTAAGCTATAGAGACTTCCCGCAATGGCGGAAAGCTTCACTCCCTGAACTCTACCATCGGTCTGCCGGTGGTGAGGGAAACCCGCATGCTTAAGGGGGTGCACGCTAAGAGACTTAGTCTTTTTTGTGCCTCTGCCACGGGTCCGCCGGTGGCGGAGGCTCTTTTTTTACTTATATAGTCTATTTTTTGGACTTTATTTTTCTCTCTATTTGGACTTAGTTTATTTTTCTCTCTAGTTGGACTTACCGGTAGTTTATTTTTCTGATATTTTGGACTACCTAGCTGAGGAACTAAGTTGTATTTCACACACTGTTTGGGCCTCTCCCACCAGTCCACCGGTCGTGGAGGCTTTTTTCTTTAATTTTTCTATCCAGTGTTAGGGGCTACTTTTTTCGCCTCTAAATATCAGTTCCTAACCCTAATGCTAACCGTAACCATACCAGCCTAACTCTAACCTTAACCCTTACCCTTGCAGTTTAACCCTAACTCATATTCTATTCCTAACCTAACCTCTAACCCTTGCAGCTTATCCCTTACTAGCTCTTATTCTAACCCTAACCTTCGCAGCCTAACCCTAATCCTAGCCCTAACGCTAACCCTAACAATTGCAGCATAACCCTAACACTTATTCTAACCTTAACCTTAAGCCAACCCTGACACTAATGCTAACCCTAACCCTTACCCTATAATCCTTACCCTTGCAGCTTAACCCTTTCTCTTCTTCTAACCATAGCCCTAACCTAACCCTAATCATAATGCTAACTCTAACAATAGCCATAATGGTAACCCTAAACCTTGCAGCTTATCCCTAACTCTAATTCTAACCCTAACCCTCGCAGCCTAACCAAACCCTAGCCCCAAGGATAGCCCTTGCAGCTTAACTCTAACCCTAGCCCCAACCTCTGCAGCCTTATCCTAACTCTTATCTAACCCTAACCCTAACCCTTGCAGCCGAACTCTAAACCCTAACCTAACCCTTACTCAAGCCCTAACCCTCGCAGCTTAACCCTTACCTTTCCATTTTAACCCTAACTCTATAACCCTAATCCATGTATATATTGAACTTATCACAAACACGTGTACCAATTGAACACGTGTTTATGTAGTGTATATGAAGAGTGTCGGTCTGATTGATTCAAGTATGTATGGAATACCAGAGGCCTGTTCAGCAGAGCGAACGTTCGCAAAAATTACTATTGGAGGTATAAGGAAATTTGGTGAGCGCTCGCGAACGTTCGCTCTGCTGAACAGGCCTCTGTTCTACAGGTATTCTGTTAAAGCACGCACGCTTTAGATCATTTCTTTTGAATAATTGATGCTAGGACTGTCACATGTTTATTCCTTAAAACAAGCTCTTCCTCTCAGTATAAACAATTTGACCCTTTGACCTTGGAGTTTGGACTACTTTTGAAACATTTTAATCTTGGCTTTTTACTTGAACAGTTGCTGCTAGGACTTTCATACTTCACAGTATTTTTTTTCACATTGACCTTGGAGTTTGATCTACTTTTAGAAAACTTT